ATCTTGTCTAGAGTGATCCATTTTTTACTGGGAGAGACACATCCCAGGAATATCAGGAACTATAGTAATAAGTATTCATGCTATCTACAGATAATTCTGATTCACTTAAATAGATCTATGTAAATCTTAATCCTAGCATTGCCTCGTTTATAGACATGTAATGTTATCTGCCCTAATACTGTGACTCCTGAAAATGTCCTTCAAACTGTGAATTCAGTCATGTTTTTTAAAGTTCTCCCTGAGTTAAGAAGGAGGTAACCTGTGGTTGTGGCCCTGCAATGGTATTGGTCTTTCTGATGAAGGAGATGATCTCTCCAGTGTTGAAGGAGGCAGTGGGTATACCCCTTCCTGGGGGGCATTGCTGGATTTCATATTGTGGACAGTTACCATCCAGCTTCCAACCTTTGCTTTGTGAAGAAGGCTGTTGAGAAGGTGATCAGAAGCAGTTGCAGAAAATCTGGAGGAAGCAGATTATCTGGATTCATTTCAATTAGATTTCAGGCCAGTACTAAGACAGTATTGGTTGCAAAAAAGCTTTGCATTTCTAGCAAAGCTCAAATGAAGACAGTGTCGCCATTCTTGCGCTTCTTGATCTATCAATCACGGTATCCTCTTGCACTGGCTGTGTGAATTGTAAGAACTGTGCTGGAGAGTTTACGTCCTTCCATAGCAGTCCTTCCTAGTCTCAATCTGGACTGCACATCTGAAGTTGTCACTGTATTAACCACTCTCTGGAGACTGTTTGGATCTGGATGGGGAGGAACATATTGAAGCTTAACTCCAATCACATTGAGTAGCTGGGCTATTTAGTTCCCTTAGGTTTGGGATGTTTTCATCTTTGGTCTTAGGTTGCATTCTCCCATTTGAGACTAGCAGCATCCTGGTCTTGCAAGCTACTACTGAAAAAGCCAGTGATAGTTATGACCAGGATCATTCTATAGCAGCGGTTCTCAACCTGTGGGTCGCGACCCTTTTGGGGGTCGAACAACTCTTTCACAGGGGTCGCCTAAGACCATCGGAAAACACATATTTCCAATGGTCTTAGGAACCGAGACACCGCTCCGCATCCGTCTCTGCATGGCCTCCTCCACCATTTGCAGAGAGAGAGAGACAGAGAGGCACTTTTGTTTCGCTTCTCTCTCTCTCTCAGGCGGACTTACCTCCTGCAAGGCTCCTGATTGGCCCTGCGCCCGGATGTCCCACCCACTGGGAGAAGCGCAACCAGGGCCTCGTGGCCATGGAGCCGCCTGGGGAAACCCTGGGATCCCTGCTGTGAGCGGCCTGCTGGAGGCTCCGCTGAGCGGGCAAGCCCTCCCGCAAGCCGCGGCCCAAGGGAGACCAGCCCCTGCGATCTCCAGCCAGATCGACCATTGGAGTCCAGGCTGCCGGGAAGGAGATTCAGCAAAGGTAGGAGAGGAGAGCCGCCTCCTGGGGCCCAACGCTGGCGGCGACTTCCTTGCCCTCCTCTTCCTCCTCCCCTTCTTCCTCCTGCTGCCCCCAAGGCGGCTCGAGCAGGCGCCGGGGCAAAAGGGGTGCCTGGGGGGAGCAGCCGGGCTGGCAGAGGGTCTGGCAGGGGCCACGCAGTACCAGCCCCCGCCGCAGCTCCATCGGATGGGCGGAGGGTGAGGCTGGGCAGCGTGGAGTCCCGGTTGGGGCGGCGGCGGCAGTTTTCTCACCCTTCTACTCCCCTTCTTCCTCCTGCTGCCGAGGCGGCTCGGGCGGGCACTGGGGCAAGAAGAGTGCCTGGGGGGGAACAGCCGGGCTGGCGGAGGGGCTGGTGGGCCGCGCGGCACCAGCCCTCATCACGGCTCCATCGATGGATGGAGGACGAGGCCAGGCAGCGCGGAGTCCCAGTGGGGGCAGCAGCTAGGTCGGGGGTGGCAGGGACCTCCAACGATGCAGCTGTGGCCGCCGAAGCCGCTGCCTCCCATCCTGCTCCCCCTCCCCACTCCGATGATGCTGCCGTGCTGCCGCCGCTGCCACCAAAGCCGCTGTCTCCCGTCCTGCTCTCCCTCCCTGCCCGTTTGGCTGAGGAAGCGGCAGGGGTGGCAGCTGGGCCAGGGGCGGCGGCGGGGAACTCCGACGATGCTGCCGTGCTGCCACCAAATCCGCTGCCTCCTGTCCTGCTCCCCCTCCCTGCCCGTTCAGCTGAGGATGCGGCGGGGGCGGCAGCCAGGAACCCCGACGATGCTGCCATAAGAGAGAGAGAGAGAAAGAGAGGAAAGAAGAGAAACAGAGGAAAAGAGAGAGGAAAGAGAGAGAGAGATGAAAAGAGAGAGAAAGAGAAAGGGAGGAAACAGAAAGAGAGAGAGAGAGGAGAAAGAGAAAGAAAGAGAGAGAAACAGGAAAAGAGAGGGGAAAGAGAGAAAGAGAAAGAGAGAGAAGAAAGAAAAAGAGAGGAAAGAGAGAAAGGAAAGAGAGAAAAAGAGGGAGAGGAATGGCGCTTCTCCAACCAGGCTGGGGGAGCCGGCGGAGCGGCCTTCCTGCCCCCCCTCCCCGGCCAGCTGGATGGGTGTTGGGGGTCACCACAATATGAGGAACTGTATTAAAGGGTCACGGCATTAAAAAGGTTGAGAACCACTGTTCTGTAGGCTCATCTTATGCACCAGCTGCACCCTTGCCTTAACTGCGAGGCTCTTCAGACACTTATTATCTCATGATCACTAATGCAATGCAGGCTCCATAGAACTGTCCTTGAGGACCATCCAGAAGCTTCATCTGGTTCAAATGCAGTGGCACAGGCAAGTTATGGGCTTCTTGCATTTTACCCATGTCATCACTGCTTCACAAACTTCATTGGTTACCAATTGGCTTCCAGGTGCAATTCAAGGTGCTGGTTGTTATTTATAAAACCTTTCATGGAATAGGGCCTGGTTATTTGAGGGAGTGCCTTTCTCTGTTCCTGCCAATTCAATGCAATTAGGCAGATTGGGTGTAATCTGGCTTTCTTAAGTCAGATGTTGCCAACTTGTGAGAACAAGGAACCAGGCCTTCTCTGTCACAGTTCCTGCATCCCCACGATGATACATCTGGCTCCTATTCTTTGAAAGTTTCATAAGTCTCTGGGCTATAGTGTTTGTGAAACCCATTGCAATGTTTTGGTTTTTATTCAGGTGGTTTGACAGAGCACTTTTTTAATATCATGTGTTCTTTTAAAGTTATAAACTGCCCAGAATCTTTTTAGAATCATGTCACCTTGAAATTTAATAAATAGCATAACAAATACTAATCTTATTTTTTTTCTTATATTTTTGGCTAATAGTTTTCACGATATTTCTTTCCATGTTAAGCTATTACTCTCAATGGTAAATTCAACATTTTACTGAATGTTGGGACTACTAAACTGATCAGTTTATATCTATGCACGGTCACTCAAGCCCTCGTTGTTTCCCGCCTGGACTATTGCAACGCTCTCTACATGGGGCTCCCCTTGAGGTGCACCTGGAGGCTCCAGCTAGTTCAGAATGCGGCCCCACGGGGGATTTTGGGGGCCTCTAGATACTCCCATGTAACACCTCTCCTGCGTGAGCTGCACTGGCTGCCTGTGGCCTTCCGGGTGCGCTTCAAGGTGTTAGTAACAACCTTTAAAGCGCTCCATGGCAATGGACCTAGGTATTTGCAAGACCGCCTCCTACCAAATACCTCCCTTCAACCAGTCCGCTCCCACAGAGAGGGCCTCCTTAGGGTGCCGTCGGCCAGTCAATGCCAGCTGGCGACCCCCAGGGGGAGAGCCTTCTCTGTGGCAGCTCCTGCCCTCTGGAATGACCTACCCCCCGACCTACGTACAACTGCGGACCTGCGCCTTTTTCGCCGAGCCCTGAAAACCCATCTATTTCGTGCGGCCGGCCTGGCGTAGTCTTAATTAGGTTTTAGTATAGGTTTTTATATGGGGTATTTTAGAGCAGGCCTTTATTTATTTAATTTGATTTTAGAATAGATATTTATTGTGATTTTTATTATCGCCTGTTCACCGCCCTGAGTCCCGTAAGGGAGATAGGGCGGTATACAAATCTAAATAAACATAAACATAAACATTTTAGTTACTAAGTATCTTCTCAGCAGTTAATTAACTATTCAGCTGATTCAGAAAATAAGCTTTCCATGTTCAATATTTACCCTGAGATTTTCAAAAACTCTGCATTATTAATAAAAACAAATAACACTAGCAACATTGATAATAATGAACAAGGTAAGAGGGCAGTAGAGAAGGAGCAGGAAATAATTAAGCAATAAAACTCCATGCTTAATAATATGTTTTTGCTTTAGGAAGTAATATAACAGAACTAATTTTAGATATATTGCTTGGTAATATAACTTATGTTTTATCTTTTAATATCATTTCTGCCAAAAATTCAGTGAACACTGAAGATAGTCACACTAGCAAGTTCATTAAACATCTTTTTCAGTAAAGCATGTTTATTTAGCTTTAAAAATGTGTTCAGGTATTTTGCATGTCAGAAGAACAGAAATAATGCAACATCTTTGTAGGCTAAGTTAAAACTATCGGACATTAATAAAATATAGGGTAATTGCCACTGGGACAAAAATCTTGCAAAAAGAAAACTAAATCACATGCCCAAGTTAAGGCCAGTTCTATGAAATTACTGAAAGCGTTCTTGTTTAATCAAAAGGTAAACTGAATACCATGTAATAAATCCAAGCCATTGCAATGGTATCATGTTGTTATACTGAAGTAATCTTGGTATCAACCTTCTATGCCATGTCAATGACATAACTGTGATTATAGAGTTAATTTATTCCAAGTCCAAAGTTGAGGATAAAGGAGGAATAGGAGATACTGATGGCTGATGGAGCATTATAAAATGTGAGATAAAATACTTACCTGGGGGAATGGTAACCTGCATGCTCATGTGATCATAAATACTTACCTTGTCTTGTAGTAGATTACAAAGATGTTGTTGAGGCAAGAGAGAACCAGGTGGGGCTGTCAGAGCCCTCTCCCCTTTTATTTTTCTAGGCAGTACTTATGTGATACTTACCCATCAGGAATAGTATTCTTCTTTACCATGCTCAATGCTGGAATGGACAAGAGCAGGAGACAGCAGAGAAAATGGGCAGCACTGCAGCAAATGAGAGAGAACCGCGTAGTTAACACGGCGCAAATCCCTTTCTTGAAGTCTTATAGATTTACCCTGAAGGACCACAATAGATGTGGTTCGGGCAGATTTGTTTTGAGAAACCCAAGTCTCCTCCAATTATGCTTGAAACACAGAACCAAGATCAGCTTTTGAAACCAAAGGCCAAGAAGATAGAGTCTTTTCTCACCATTGCTGCTTTAGCATCCACAAGGTCCTTCTTTAATGGTTGGTGTACTGGGAAAGGAGCACAACTGAGAGAAAAGTAGTACAGCAGCCAGGGTGTTTTAAAATTTCTTTGAATGAATCAGCCCTTTTGTTTTAAAGCAGTGGTTTTTATAAACTTGGCCAGTTGGACTTGGTACACGGTTTCCTGCTTGAGCAGGGGGTCGGACTATAAGACCTCCAAGGTCTCTTCCAACTATGTTATTCTGTGAACACCCAGAATTCTCCAGCCAGCATGCTGGATGGGGAATTCTGGGAGTTGGTCCACCACCTTATACTGTAGTAGCCAATTTGAAAAACACTTCTACAAACCAGCCTCAGCAATCAAGAGGGCCCTCTTTTGATTTGGCTTCATGGCCAAGCAACCAACGAAATGGGAGATGAGAGCGATGTGGTCAAGTCCCGAGGGGCGGCTGTCCTATGGCTTTAAAATTATTGAACATTAGAGTTAGGGCAGTGGTGGCGAACCTACGGCACAGGTGCCAAAGGTGGCACTCAGAGCTCTCTCTATGGACACATGCGCCATCACCCCAGTCCTAGACCTTCAGCTGCGTTTTATAAAACCTTTTCGCTTTAGGTCTCCGCTGTTGTGTGCAAAAAAAAAAGGTTCAATCAGTCAATTTCAACTTCTTACGGGAAAAAAAAAA